TGGAAACAAATTATGGAGCTATTTGAAGTGGCTCGTTCGATACCAGGAGAAGTTGTTGACTTTTTTTGCTTCTTGTGGTCCGTTTGTTTAATTATATGATGTTAAAAGATATATTAAAAAAAAATTTACAATTTTATATGTGTTTGTATAACATAGAATAAACAATAAATGAAAAAAATTTTTTTTTTCATATTTAGATTTTTTAAAATCTAACTAATTTTTTTTCTTACAAAAAAAATGTAAAAAAATTGTGTTTAATAATTTAAATTCTCTTTTTACTCTTACTTTTTCTTAAAATATTCAATTAGTTATTAATTTAAAAAATTTTATACAAATTATACTAACCATATAATGTGGTCTAGAGATAAGGATTCGAATCGATTCTTTATCTATGAATTAGGTTAGGAGTCAATTTTAAAAATTGAATAATAAAAAATATTTTTCTTCTTTAAACCGAGTTAAATTAATTAAGAATAATTTAAACAATTAAAAAAATTCTTCTAACTTTCCTTTCTTTCAAACAATGAAATGAAATTATTTTAAAATTTTCTTAAAATTTTTTGAGCTAACCAAATGCATTTATATGAAAATATATTTTTTTCATTCATTTTTTTCACTTCCCTTTCCATCCATTTCACTTTTCGTCGTCTCATTCTTACTAACCAAACGAACCTTGGTGATTGGGAAACTCCAGACGGTATTTTTGACCAGTAATCCGACGGATGATATGGCTTGGAGTGATCTGTATAAAATTTTTGGTATTTTAGACCAAAAAATACTTTAATCAAAGATAGGATATCAAATATTTTAAATTTTACAACAAAAATTTATATTCTATTATGATGTTTATTGAAATAAAATTAAAAATAAAAATCTAATTTTTTAAAAAAATTATAATTAATATACAATTATACTATCTATTATAATTTAATTTAGTTGTCTAAATGATCAAATTAAACAACCAAATTATCTCACTTAAAGTTAAAAGATATTGTTTCTGTAACAGTTTGACCCCTTATTTGATTTTTTTTTTGTTTTATTCTAATAGATAGTATAATTGTATATTAATTATGACTTTTTAAGAAAAAATGAGATTTTTATTTTTTATTTTATTTCAATAAATGACATAATAAAACATAAATTTTTGTTATAAAATTTTTGTTATATTATGAATGACTTAGACCCCTTGTTTAATTTTTTAGTTTTATTCTAATAAATAGTATAATTGTATACTAAATTACGAATTTTTAAGAAAAAATTAGATTCTTATTTTTTTTTTATTTCAATAAATGATATAATAAAATATAAATTTTGGTTGTAATATTGATATTTTATTGAGTATTTTTTATCTAAGTATAACATTTTAAACTTTAAGAGTCTAAGTATTATATGCTTACAAATTTCAAGGTGTTTGAGTGTAATTTACTAAAAATATATTAACCGATATTGACAACAAGAATCTTAGTCTTACGTACATACAAACTTTAGATGGTTTGTGTATAATATTTTAAATATCAAGAGGTCTGAATGATTAAATGACAAATCTCAAGGGACCTAAGTGTAATTCTCTCTTAATTTTTTTATTTTTTTTTGGTGGAGGAAAAGACAAAGTACTATATTGGTGACAAGGTCCATGTCCCATTGCCCTATATTAATTTCGTCCTTATCACCAACATTGAACAATTCTATTTTGATTCGAACTTACGAAAATCGATAATTTTGGCTTAAATTCACAAAAATTTAATTCAATTATCAGTCTTATCCACCATGTACATGTGTTTTAACACTCTACTTTGGATGATCATTAATTTATAAAAGTGTTGGATAAATGAATATTGTTTTATTAAAACCTTGCCAATAAAATTTAATAGGAAAAAACTTAAATGAAAGAACAAAAGTTCATTGTGCAAATTATCTTGTACCTTGATGTTGATGACTTAGTAGCTTCAATACAGCATACAACATGAATGGCTGTGGAGTGACCATTGGGATAAGATAACAAGCCTCAATTCTAACTTTTCCATATAATTACAAAACAACAGCCCCATCTTTGTAATCAAATTTCCACTCTTTATTATGCTTAACAAACCCAGAAAGAAAAAAGACACACACACATACAAAAAACAAAGGAGGATCCACTCTAACTGTTTTACATATTTTCAAGCTCACAATGAACAAACAAACTACTAACAAACTTCCAGATTTTTCAAAGAATATTACACAACAGCTTCACAACTATAAAAGACATGACGATTGGAAAAGGCATTTCATCGATCAACTCAGTAACGCTGTCATCCAAGCTACTTGGGCTGTGTCAAGCTCGCGCTGAAATCCCATAGTTTCTTTGCCAATTCTGCATCTTTAGCATGAGAGGTGACCGTTTTAGCTACATTACTGTCTGAAAAATACTCACCACTTATACCCTTAACTTGTGGATGCAGTGCCACATAGCATGTAGTTGCCGCTCCCTAAAACCATAAGAAACAACATCTATAAGAAAACTCTGTCATGGAAACATAGGGAGCTATGTTTGTCTAAAAGGACCACCACCATCGGGATCCTTGTGTAAAAAATAAAAGATTATTGCACTTAAAAATGGAAGATGACAAACCTGTGCAATACTTTTTAGCACAAATTTACCAATCAAATTAGACAAGCCTGCATCATGGGGAAAAAAAAAGCATTGACATCAATCCAGATAATTCTAGACTCATTAAATGAGAGAGAAACTTACGGACTGATTATGTTTGAAATTTATTGGGATATTCAAGAAATAAAATCATATTCTAGCACGGCTGTAACTTGTAAACCTAAAATTCATATTTCATGGACGTAACTTTCCAACACACTGATAATGTTAGTATGCTAAATAATATGTAGCCAGTAATTAGAGACCAACTTCTATTATCAACTTAGTTTCAGATGAATATATAACAAATATCTACACAGTGAATAGTATCAATTCTACGGGTAAACTCTCTCGTATATCTACTCCCTCTTTTAAAGTGCATCTAAATGTTTTACAATTAGCATATGTTCTTTCTAGCAGAAATATGTAATCAAACTATACTTAATGTAATTTGTAGAACATAAACAATCAGAAGATGAAAAGGCCTGATGTTTACCATGCATAATGCTGTGGTGACGCATAATATTAGTGGAAATAGCTCCAGGATGAAGTGAATTAGCAGTAATATCCACCCCTTCTTCCTGGTTAACAGTAGAAAAAACAGATATTATACAACATTCCAATAAGGATGATAATTGGACAACAATTGAATGTCAAATAAAAGGGACAATTGACAATGTCTCACAACTCGAATGGTAAAGTAACAGCCTTAACTCTATGTATGATGTGTTCAACAAAATTCAGTAATAATCTCAACTTCCCGTAGTTACCAACATTCACATAATTTGGAAGCCTACGGTTAACATCAACATGACCAATTAGAATTCTGCAGGAGGTAAGCCAAGACTACTAGACTTCTCTTAAGTCGGGACTTAAGAGAAGTTCGAGAGAGATTTTTCTGTTCTGTTTCAAATGACAACAAACGCATACTCTCTGAACTGTGACCCAAGGTCATCACATAGGACTGGCATGTTATAAGTCTCATGACTCGTGAGTCCAATTAGGCAGTGCTTTTTGATGGTGTTTTTCATTGTTGAATTTAGAATCCAGCCATTTGTTTCTTTCAATGGATCCAAACACTGCAGCAGAATGTAATCAACGCTCCATTAGACCACTCTAGATATTCGACACATGTAGACAGATTATCGAAAATTCACTAACCAAATTCTCTTTTGCAGCCTCAAACACACACAAAACCATGAAAGTGACACTAAAACAAACTGGTATACTTGATGGCATTCTCTGAATTTACTACAATTTCTATCCACTTTGCAACCCACTGTTGTCCGGAAAGAAGTAGAACAAATTACCTTGAAGCACCTTGCTAGCTCATTGGCATGCAATATGTTAGCAAGCTTTGATTGTCCATAAGCAGGAAAATCCTTGTAACTGAAAAATAAAACCAGATAGTAAGGATTAATGTCTGCTAAATGGATTTCATGTATTAAAATTAAACATTAGGTAGGCACAAAAATTAAAACTGTTCATTGGCTTGCCTTTTTTTATCATTAATTTTATCAAAACGAATTCCTTCAGGATAAGTGATCTTATAACCGTCTGATGCAACATTAACAATCCTTCCTTCTTTGTGGCTTTCACGTGCAGTATTTTTCATGTTCTCCAACAAAAGATTTGTCAACAGAAAATGGCCTGCACAAACAGAGATAAATTTTCTTATATTTTACACCATATGTTTCTTGCATTTTCAAGAGAGAGTAACAAACATATCAGCAGGGAACTCAATGAAGTAAAAACAATTTAGGAGATGCAATGTAGCGTCTTAAAAATCATCCAATACAAGAATTGTTTTCCATCTCCAACTCGAAGAAAAAGTCTCATTTTCACAAGAATCCTTCCTATCGGAGATAGATCATATGCTTGAAAGCTACTAATTGAATACATTTGCAGCCCTGCGAGGACAAAGGAAGACCTCTCTTTTCGATATAACTAGCCATAATGTCAAAAAAAAAAAAAAAAACACAAGACCACTTAGCATAGTCAAAGGAACCATTTGTGAATAAATAACATCAAATCCAACATTTTTGATTCCTCGGATCTGTAAATTCTATACTTCCACTAAGAAGTTAGTATTCAATCTTGATTATCAGTTATAGAGTCAAATTTCTACATGTCCTTTTTCTTCTAGCATATGATTTTACATTCTAGCAAAACTGCATTCAATAAATCATCATCAACAATCAAATATTCAGGACATATGTAATAGCAGAACTCTAGTCTCTTGCAATAATCAGTGAAGAAGGACCGAAACAGACCACTTCCTGTTGAAAAATTTCTAGCACCCACAAACTTCCAGAGCAAACATAAACATCAAGCAAGTGAGCAACAATGTTCAACATACCTAGATAGTTAGTTGCAAATTGCAGTTCTACGTTGTCTTTGGAAAGCTTGAAAGGAGGACCCATGATACCTGCATTGTTACTTCCAACACCATGTATTCCACTCCTTGTTAATTGCTATATTCAAAATAAACTTGTACATTCACACGCATACACACACAGCCATACATATATATAAGCCACAAGAAAAACAGTAGAGTTAATGTTACATAGTTTTCTTACACGAGGATATTCAGGGGAAGACGCGAGGAGTTATACTCGGTTGCAAATTTTCTGACAGATTCCATTGAACTCAGATCTAACTCCATAACCTCAAGTTTAGAAGTGGGGTTTTTCTGAAGTATTGCTTCTTTAATCTTTGTTCCAGCATCCACATTTCGTACAGCCATAACCACATGTACACCACGCAAGGCAAGGACACGTGCGGTCTCTACGCCAATACCACTTGACGCTCCTGAAATACATAAAGAGTAGAGTATGATGAGCACACATATATTTCTATGTGAACTGCTACGGTACCGCCCGACGGTATAGATACCGAAAGTTATAATTTTTTACGGTTAATTTATAATTTTTTTAAGGTGTATCAATTATAGAATATTGAAATCGATACCACATTTTTTATGATTGATCATAGATGTATGTGATTGATCATGACCTCTCCCGAACAATTACAACTTCTCTTTTTAAAGTTATAACTTTACCATACAAATGAGTAATTGACGGTAGTAGTTCCAGAAATTTTTTTCGGGTACAATAAGAATTTCCCTATTTCTATAATCATTTTTCACCAACACTAGCATAAATGACTCTAGACCTGTCAACATGTGAGCATCACTCGTCTTATATGTAATAAACATCAATATACATACATATATATATTAATCAGATCGAATTAGTATATGTTAATATTCATATTCGATTTAAGATGTCTAAATTAATACAGATCAAATTTGTATAAAGGAATGAAAATATTAGTCTATATCTGATTAAACAGATTTAAATTCGGACCAAATTGGGTCTATTTGCAGCCCTACGCATTTGGAACCCCCAAGTTTATACCTAGCTAGCACCTATCACGACAACCCAGTTGCAGGAGTACACAAAATCGGTATCTTCAGATACAAGTCATTGTAAGATGTTAAATCGGAACCAGTAAACAAACCAGACCAAATCCAAACTACCCAACAAAAAGAAATGTACTTAAGAACAGGGGAGTCACAAAAGCAGTATCTTCTTCTCTTTTTTTTTAATTCAACGGATAGGAATTCATGCCAGAATTAAAACATTCTGGTCTCGAAGGATTATCCTGATTCAAACTTATGATATTTATTACCACTTAAAAGTACTCGTTAGGTAAAAATCAGTATCTTCAGACACTACGGTCTACAAATCATTATAAGATGTTGTTATATCGAAACCATTAAACAAACCAAACCTAATCCAAACTACCCAACGTAAAAAAAGAAAAAAGAAGGTACTTCTTCGTAGTGTGAGCAATTTTGCTACTTTTCATTAGTATATAAATCGAACAGTATGAAAAACAAATCTGAAAAAAGAGACACATCTCGGGCTGATAGCTGAACACACCCATCAGAGCATGGCGATACAAAAGCTTAATATATCATTAGAAAAGATCAAAAGTGAGAAAATAAAGAAAGATCCAGAACTAGAAAAGAACAAGACCTGTAACAATGGCTGTGAGGCCAGTTCCATCAATTCCTTGGGTAACTTCCTCAGCTGTAGAGCAAGACGAGAACCCAGATGGACCTTTCTTTGCAAAAAAACCCATTTTTTTTTTTTTCCTTAGAGAGGATTTGATCAGACTGATTGAAAACAACACAAAGGTGGTGATCACAAAGACGCTGCTTCAATTTGGAAACTACTACGGAGCTATTTGAAGAGGGTGGTACGCGTAGTAAAGTTGACTTTTTTTTCGTTCCTCATTGAATGGGGAAGCTCCGGTTCACATGTTGTCTTATTGACCAGAAAATTATTGATTAACGGATTGCCAGCCGTTGAATGTGTCGATCAGAAGAGGATCACAGATTTATATTCATTAGTCACCAATCGAACGGTTGATATGGCTTAATGCCAGCCAACGGAAGTTTAGCCGTAAATTCCGAACAAATTTTTTAGATAAAGTCACGGCCGATATCGTATTCTAAAACGTGAATCTCTTATCTTTTTTTAAGAGAATTAGAAATAAAATTAATTGATATACATACAAATTGTTTTAATGGAGTTAAAATAATAATAATAAATAAAGAAACGATTGATTGATATGACTCGGAGTGGTTTAAGTCTAAGTCCAAATTGGAGGCTGTATTTAATTAGGTTTGTTTTTTTTTTAGTTGTGGGACAGGACTAAATAAAGTAGTGTACCGGTGATAAGGATGAAATTAAATATAAGAAAAGTAAGAAGTGAGATGCTAAATAGTAATAGTAATAATAATAATATATGATGACTTTTATAGGTTACTTAGTGGGGGCGATTTTGACCTTTCTGCTTTCAAACTAATCGTGAGTTGGGGGAATCCATTCACAATGGTAGATGGGAACGTACGTTTTAAAACCTTATCTCCATTGTGATGTTATTCGGCATCGACCTTCTAGATCATTAGTCTTGTTTCTTGGAATATCAACATGAGGAGGAGTTTATCAGATTTAAAATTTTTATATTTTATTGTTTTTTAATTAATAATTACAAATCATTCAACTTAAAAGACACCAATTTTTATTTATTATCATATTTATAAATATTTTTATTATTATTATTTCGTTATTACGATACCCAAAAAAATAATTACCGCACCGACGGTATAAACACTCACAAAATTAATAAATCACTCACAAATGTGGTAATTTTTTTGTACTAAATAAAAGTGATAAAAATACTCACAAAATTTTGATAAATCACTCACAAAATAGTAAATTTTTTAATTATAAAAGGAACCATAAAAGTTATAAAAATATCAATTAAAATAATATAAATTTTAGAGGTATAGTATTTTTTTTTTTGGGGGTACCGTAGTCAAGTCCTCATTTTAAATATAAATTGATAGAGATACGGTATCCCAATCAACGCGGTAGTCGTATCCTTTCTAGAGACATCTATCTGTAGAATCACTTCTTCTTCTTCTTCTTCTTTTTTTTTGTTTTCAAATTAGCTTTTTGTATAAGATAATTTCAATGGGGCTTGAAGAAATGACATGGCAACGGTCGCCGGGTGGATAGGGTGGGTGGTTCATGGGTTGGTTTGTTTGGCCCGTAATGTTTAAGGTCTACGGGATTTCAATTTTGGCCCACAATGGTTTGAAAATTTGAGAAATACTTTTTGTACCTACCGGTGACACGATGGATCATAGTTAGAACATTGAAAACTAAACTTGATAATTTCAACCATTGATTTCACTTTAGGTCCCAATATTTATTGGGACTCACTACCTATTCAATAATTGAGATAATCAAGTCTACTTTTTAAGTCCATCTAACATTACTTATCATAGTTATTGAATTAATAAATGATAGAGCAATGCTATTATGACATAATAATTTAAGGATATAATGAGTTATCATCAATAAAATGATGTTGAATTCATTTAATGCTACAATGAGACCCATAATAGCATTAGTGTAAATGATAACAAGTCCTAATTATGAGATTCACTGTCAATTTAATTTAATTTATTAATGATAAAGAAGGATAAGATCACTAAATAAAATCCATGCAACATTACCATAAAAATTTACATAGTTTGTGATATGAAAACTATAAAAGGATTTTGTCTCCCGCCCTTCCTCCCATTACTATTAAAATTTAATTTATTAACATAATTTATTGACCTAATTCACTATATAATTTTTTAATTGACTATATAGACTCTATTAAATATTAGAACTTGATATCAAATGAATCTTTACAATAAAACTACATTATATCAAATTTTGAGAAAACTTGTAGGAAAAAGCTAAATCTTAGATGATCCCTATCAAGATGTACTAAACACCACTTGTGTGTCATGCGGATCTATATCCTTTCCACTAAACTTTTGGCTCATTTTCACTAACCTTGTAAGCCGCTTGAACAACCTATGACCACCTCCCTCAGCCCATCTGCAACCTCAGCCAGTGCCGGAGGCCATGGTGGATGAGATTGGTTAATGCTGACAACTCACAAACCTAAGGTTTGGTAGAGCATAGAAAAGAACCACAAGTAGTAGTTTGGGATCTTCAAACACCAAACGAATTCAGCTGGGTCATAGCAACTCGCAATTGAGAAGGTTACAACATCTCTAAACCAAACATGGCAGATTTCCAAGCATTCATTAATAGGATGCACAAGCTTAATAAATACAGCATACTTTCATAATTTACACACACAGTTTAACACTTGTAAAACCACCAAATCTCCACAAAAAGGTAAGTAAAAGACACAGGCTAATGCAAATGTGCGGAGAATGGAAAATCCATTGGGATGAAACATGATGGTGAGACACAAAAAGGAAGGATCTTAAGCCCTGCTCTTGAAAGGAATGGCTCTGATGACAATCTGGTGGTACAAAGCAGCAAGAGCAGCTCCAATGAAGGGTCCAACCCAGAAAATCCACTGCAAGGAAAAGGAATTGTTACTATCCACCGGAATACATTATATGTTCTGAGTTTTGTTATAACCGACTTATTCCTCCTTTTTTTTTAGGGATACAAAAAGATGTTAAGTAATACTTACTTGGTCATCCCATGCGTGGTCTTTGTTGTAAATGATGGCGGCGCCAAGACTCCTAGCTGGGTTGATGCCAGTTCCTGTAATGGGAATGGTGGCCAAATGAACCAAGAACACTGCAAACCCAATGGGAAGAGGAGCCAAAATCTGAAACATAATTCAGAGAGAATTATTAGAATACTATCAAAAGACTCAAGAGCAACTTAGTATTAAGATTTCATGCTAAAAGCACACTACAAGTTTTCCATTAGTGTCCAATGTTTAATACAACCTTCGGACTTTTTCATGATTGCATTCGTCTAATACGATTATCAGAAAATTTTTGTGTAACCGAATTGCCTCTGTAAGAAAAATTAAACAAACAGATGTGGTAAGAACATTTTTTATATTAACGAGAACAATGATAATCATTGGCTCATTAATTCTAAAAATGTCACTGCCACATCTGTTGGAATGGATTTCCATACAATATCAATCAGAGAAACAACAATTTTATATTCTTAACCTACTAATTATTAAAAAAAGAAAGGCTGTTTAGGAACTATTGGCTGGTAGTGATTGAAGATAGTAGACAAATTCAAAAAGGTAACGTATGAATCATCATAGTCCATAGGTCGGTGAATGCATCTCAAATATAAAAGCATATGTTCGAAACACATACCCTGATCCTAAGTCCTAACGATGAATCAGTACGACCCATTTTTTGAACCACACACTAGTATTAATGGTGTTAAGTTTTGGGAGAGTAAAATATTTTAATAGTAACGATATGTATGTCCTCCCAGTGAAGGGGATAGCAATGACTTGCAATTCCTTCAATACAAAGGACGTATAATCATCCTGCATGTATACCAATTGAACAAGAAAGGTGTTAAAATGGGAAATGTTATTGCCAACGCATCTTTCAATGTGAAGGGGACAAATTTCAAGCCGCAAAATCTTTTCCAGATTCCTCCAAGAAGATAAACTTTCACAATAACATTACCCCAATCAGAAACTATGTTAGGCTATATCATTCTGGTATTTGTGCATTTGTCACTACAAACTTCCATGAACTTGGAACACATTGTCCACCATAGTCACATATGATCCAATGCTGGACCAACAAGAAAAACCCACTCAATCCTAGTCCCACCAGCAACTAATAACCAAGACATGGATAAGACTATAGTACCCATAAAAACTTTTCGGTACCATACCAAAAAATAATTTATTATTATAGATCTTCGGTTGGTACATTTGTCGCATTTATACATGCATCATATTTTATTGAATGAAAAAAGGAGATATGGGACCGAAAAGCAACTTTTTGGTACCATATATTAGACTCTAAATTAGGGTGCAATGATGTTACCAAAAAATTACTTTTCGGTACCATACCTCTTTTTTCCATTCAATAAGAACAAGACACATTTCAAGTTTTCCTATTTTATTATTACATTTTGACAATAAATGACTACAAATGAATCAAACTAATATCTACAATTTCAAATTATTTTTCAGTATGGCATCAAAAAGTTTTCAAAGTACCAAAGTCTTATCCATAAGGACACACCATCAGATCACTTACCCTCCACATCAAACTTTACAAGTTTGCAGCTCTAGAGTGGTGCAGTTATCTTGTAAACTGGAACCTACCCTCTAGTTACCATCGATAATCGTATTCCACAATCGACCTAAAACAAAAATAACATGCAATGCTACTCACACCAAGTTTCTATTTCAATTTTTTTTTGTCAAATGACGTGACACAATTATCATCATCCAATAGATAAACCCATGGATATCTATTAGTGGTGAAAATGTCACATCCTTTCAAAAACTATCTGAATAAAAGGAAAGGATAACTTGTAATGTTCCTCACCAAATTTTTTACGCTAAATTTTTCTCACCAAATGATGTGACACAATCATCACCATCCGATAAATGAATCTCACGACTATATAACGATGGTGAATGTGCCACATCATTTGGTTAGAGAAAATAAGTGCAAAAATTTGATGAGAGTGGCAGTAATGAAAGTGAACTGTATTATAAATTTGTGCAGCAATTCAAAGCATAACCTACTTCATATAATAAACATTCAATGAAAAACAAATTCTCATGGCACTAGGACTTTCTAACTGATCAAAGAATAACCCTTCATGGGAGTAACAGTTGCTGTAGTAACATTATCAAGAACTTACAAGTAATAACATGGAAAAGAAAATCATCTGGCCAAAACACAACACAATAGTGTTTCTGCAACTTTAATCCCAAGTATGGTGATTTTTATCTTATTTCCTAAACTATGATAGTTGTTTTCAAGAAATCGCTTCGAATAAAAAAAAACTGTTTTGCAAACAATCATAGCTTGGAAAATAAGTTGAGAAAGACAGTAGTATGGAAGAAAATTTCAGAAAAAAAAAAAAAAAAAATCTAAGGTCTTTTGATCAATGATTCTAAAGACACAAAAGTCAAAACATCTTACAATCCCTGATTAGTTAAATTTATCAAAGATAAAGATCTAATGAAGTAGAATCCATCTAAGACAAAAGAAGTCAAAACATCTTGAACACCCTGGTTAGTTTGTCAAAGATAAAGATCTAATAAAGTAGTAATGGTAAGTATACATACAGGAACATGGGAATCTCTGGCGCTTCTCTTGGCATCAGTGGCAGAGAAGACAGTGTAGACAAGAACAAAGGTGCCAACAATCTCAGCACCAAGACCATCACCCTTGGTGTAGCCATGGTTCACAAAATTAGCCCCACCATTCAAAGCCTCATATTCTTTTTTCTGGAAACCCTTAACAACACCAGCACCACAGATGGCACCAAGGCATTGCATCACCATGTAGAACACAGCCCTGGTTAGGGAAAGCTTCCTTGCCAGAAACAAGCCGAAGGTTACAGCTGGGTTAATGTGTCCTCCTGTTTCAATAACCAACAAACTTAATTCAACACAAGTTTCTAGAAAAAAATAGAATTGAACAGAAAAAGATCAAAATACCAACAAAAAACAACACAGAACTAACAGTAAATTTACAAATTAGAGCCAAAACCAGTAATTATTTCGAGATAGAGAAACAAATCAAAACTCTGAAAACCATCGACCTCCAAATTCAGATCAAGATATCAGGGAAAAGCACCCCCAGTTAGGGTTTGTGCCCCATATCACATCTCTTAAAAGTCTAGCATGTAGCTCAACCAATAAACACAGAGATCTAGAGAAAAAAAAATCAGAATGATAACCCATAAACTGTAGTAAACACACACACACATACAAAGAGAGAGAGAGAGAGAGAAGCAAACTGATGAAAACCCACAAAAAATTTGCTCAAATCAAAGGAGAAGGAAAAGAAAAAAGTGGCCCAGGTTGGAGTAAAGAAAGAAAACACTCAAAAAAAGGGGGGATGCTAACGGAGTTTTTAGTGGAAATAGTGCAGAAGAAAGCTAACAAAAGCCCAGGAAAGGAGAGGAATAGCTTGCTAACCTGAGATACCAGCAGTGCAATAGACAAGAGCAAAGATCATACCACCAAAGGCCCAAGCAATTCCTTGTATACCAACAGAGGCACACTTAGTAGGTGCTCTACCCACACCCATCACAGTCAAGATTGTGATGTACAAGAACAAGAAGGTAGCCATGAACTCTGCAATACCAGCCCTGTAAAAGGACCATGATGACAACTCTCCGGGCTCAAACAAGGGTGCTGGTGGTGGCTCCTTGTAGTCTTTGTCTGTCTGAGCAGATGTGCCTATGGGTTGTCTCTCTGGGAACTTGTTGGCTCCAAGCTTAACATCCTCTTCCTTACCCTCCATTCTTACTCACTAGGCTCTCTCTCCTCAAACTCTCTCTATTCCTTCTCTCTCTTACTTTGAACTCTCCAGAAGAAAGCTTGTGATGTGAGAAAGGACAGGGTTTGGAGTGTTTTATAGGTGAGAAGTCATTATTTTGCTTGGAAGAAAATAAACGGGTCTGCTTTATCTTTAGCCTTTTTTATTAATTATTGGCCTGCTTTGATAATTTAAATTAATTTGGCAACATTAATCTAAGCACTGTACTTAAACAAAACTGTTTTCTTTTTCTTTTGAGTGTAGAGAGGGAGGGTTCTGGAAAGAGCAGAAGGATGTTGACAGGTATCTGAATGGATTATTACTTGTTCTTATCTTCTACAGAGTGTCAACATTGCCCACTTTTCTTTTCTCAAGCATTTGATTAGCTGGTCTGGGCCATTTGATTCACCTAATCATCAAAAGGATTATGGGCAGCTAAGCTATTGGGACAGAATATTAATGAATGTGTTTGTGAAATCACTTCCCTCCAAGTCACTGTACTCTACTGCATTACATCTATAATTATTACAAATAAAAGGTATATAATTATCTCTCCAAGTCGCTTTAAATTGCTCTATGGGCATACGTACAGAAGCCAACTTGAAAATATAATATAATTAGACTTTAAAACTAACATCCATGACAATTTACCTATTGATAATTACCCAACAAAATAATATTTTTCCATGAAAGTGGCTCATTCTATAACTTAAATCTAACTTGCAAGAGAATGATTTACATTAATTTCACCTACACATTCCTATATGCTTAAAGCCAAAGGTAGCAGCCGATCAATATCAAGAGATCAACGGTGAAGGTCATAGGTTAGGTGGGAAGATGACATCCACAAAATAAAAATATGCGAATCCAAACATTCATTGACAAAGAAAAAGTATAGCCGTTTTATATGACCGTTGTGGAAAGTTACAGCCTTGAATGAACAGGATATGCACATGGCCAAACGGCTATATAATACAGTTGAAATTACAATATCATCCTTATCACATTGTACTGACTTCAAACAGTGGTCCCATGGGACCATGCCCTTACTAAGCTTGAACTGTAGGATTCGGGTGTAAATGAATTTTGGATTTTTTTTTTTTCGATCAATTGTCATCCTTAAATAAGGGTCCAATTAACATATCTAAAAACACCTGAATTATTTTGGTGAATTTGGTAATAACTTGCCCTTCAAAATCACTTCCATGAACCATAGAATGATCAAGTAGGACAGAGGTGGGGGAGCTTTATAAATATGCCACCTTCTATAATTCAAATTCTTCGTAAGTTCCAATCATGTGGGCCTATCTCTCTCCTTATTGTAATGTTGTTGTCTATCTTATTGTCTGAAAAGAGTATCCCAATCATGGTAAACAACTCACACCCATGGTATAAACCATTTGGTGTCACATGCAGCCTCTAGACCCACTTGCTAGCTTTGTGCCTCGAGCCAACCTTACTACATATACAACCAAAACTCCTAAGATTAGGTAGGATCAATTGAATCATATTTTTTTGAGAAAATCTTATTTTAAATCCTAAAAGAATTACAAAAATTCTCAATTTTTTCTATTATCCTCTCAAATAAATAAAAACATTACAATATGATTCAAAAATATTTTTGAAAGCAGACTGTAATATTTTTAGACCACATAACAATGTTTTTATTTTTTTGAGGGGGTAATGTGAAAAAATTAATCATTTAAGAGATAAATTGAGAATTTTTGTATCTTTCAATGAGTAAAATGAGATTTTTCCTATTTTTTTTATTGGACAATTGAATCAAATTGTAAACTTAAGGGTTAGACGTGCTAAATTTTAATCTTGGCAATTTGTAAAAGTCAGGTTATGAGTGATTTATTCCTTGTGAATACTTTAATTCTGGCGTGAATGATGTCTTTGATTTTTCAAACAAATAACATAATACTTGACTGAGAAAAATAATTAAAAAATAAATAAAAATTAAGTAATTCACATTTAACATATTAATTCGATTAATTTATTATGCATGTTGAACATTTATATCATTTTCAAAATGTTTATCAAAGCTATTTTGTCTTGTATTGAGACCCCTAATCTATGCTAATACACCTCACATCATGAGTCATCAAACCGCCCAAACCTCAATGTTTTATCCACGTGGCATAAATCAAACGTCACAAACCATGGAACTAACCGACCAATTTCAACATCATGGAATAGATAAAAAAAAATGAACAAGATTAATATGCACCACATAATTTTTCTAGATTATATGTCATGAAGCCACGTGGCATGACATGCTTTGACTATTTGAGGGTGATTGGGAAATGTAAACCCAAGTTTAATTAAGTGGGAGACTATTATAATATTTTGGGATTTTTATATTCTGTATCTTAAAGATTTTAAAATTCTTATTTATACTTTTAAAAATTAAATTTTTTATATTATACCCTCAATTTATTAAAAATATTATAATATAATATTTCTGTTATCTTCCGTTATTTTTCTATCAAATGCCAACTCATTGAAATTGAGAAAAAAATAAATAAAAAATTAACAAAAATGTTACATTGCAATACTTAATATATTATAATATTTAGGGACTTTTTGTACTTTGTACTCTAAAAAATTTTAAATTTTTTATTTATACCTACAATTTATCAAAAATATTTTAATGTAACATTTATATTAACTTTCGTTATTTTTTTTTATCAAAAGTCAATTTATTGATACTGACAAAAAAAATTAATATAAATATTAAATTATAACACCTTTAATAGTGTACTATAAAAAAATTAATCTTTAAAAATATAAAATATATTTTTAAAAAAATATAAAGTGTAATTCGCCTATTAATATTTTTTGGACTAAAGATAAGGGATTAGGAGCATTTTGCAGGGGAATATTATTATCCGGCTCCTTATTAATAGTAAGAATGATATAATTGATGGCTCTATCATGACAAATGCTGAAAGGCATCGAGTGGGCCCCGCTTACATCAAATGATTGAAGGGTTATCATATTTTCTGAAATAAAAAATAATTATCATGTTTTTATTATACAAATATTGATTTGATTTCAATTTAAGTCACTGACGCAACTCACACGCCAATTTTATAGTGTGTTTGGTATGAAATAAAATTAATGGATAGAAAATGAGATAGAAAGTGGTGTTTTTCTCTGATTGGTATGGAAAAAAAAAAAGGATAGAAAGAAAAATGGGTGAGAAGTGAATCAATCACTTCCATTATCTTTTATCCACCCGAATTCGGGTCATGATTATAAAGGATGAATTTATTTTTATGTTCTCTACAAAATGATGCAGCCTGCATCTTTTCAAAGGAGTAAATGTGGGCCCACAGTATTTAATTTGTCCAATACAAGCAAAATCATAAAATGGTGGGCATGAAAACTTTTTAAACTATTATGTTTTATATCACACAAGGAAATTCATGACTTTTAATAAATTAAATTTTTTTTAAAAAATTTATTCATGCCAAACAAATAAAATAAAAAATTTATTTCTCCTACTTCTTCATCTCTACAACCAAGCATCAAAGAGGAAAAACACAATTTTCTCCAAAGGATGAAAAATATATTCTTCATATTTTTTCTTCTCTTTTATTTGCTATCTGTACTAAACATACCAGTAGAATTTTATTAACAAGATAAAAAATAAATTTCAAATTCTCAATTCTAGTCATTTTTTTTTTTAAATAACTCGTACAAATTCAATACAACACTACCATTTGTTTTTTTTTTGTTTGGTTTTGATGACAAGTAATCCATTAAAGACATAACAATTTAAATTCATCCTTCAAGAATAATCTTTAACTATTTGCGATCAACCGCTAATCACAAATATCAATCAAATCCAAGTAACACACGTGAGACTTAAATTCAATACGTCTAGGAGTGCAACGAGCCTCAGAGTAAACTCAACTAATCTAGTACATTTTCATCAAGAATCATTACGAAACCCTAATGGATTATTCTGTAATATTTTAATTTACAATGCACATAATTATTTTAAAATATTTTAAGATATTTTAATTTATTTTAACCAATATTTTAAGAAATAATTATTAATTATTTTATTTTTTTTCACTTTGTTTTCAAAATAGGTTAAATTTTTTATAAAATACATCGAAACAGTTTCATTTCTTAGGTGACCTAAATAATACACCGACACAAAATTTTGACCCGCAAAAAACGGGGCCATTTCGAGTTTCCTTGTTGAGATTATCTACACAAATTTCGTCTTGAAATATTGAATGCTGAAGCATATGCTACTTGGGCTCAAAGTAGTATATCCGAATCAATAAGAAAGATACGGAAATTATGTCCATAATAGCAATGCATCATTACTGTCACTGAAAATGTTAGGTCAGCAAAACTGTAGAGGGGACGTGGATGGGGATTGGGATAGGGATGAGGGTTTTGCTGATTAATTACAGGGAATTTTCCCAAGGTTGATCGAAATTAGAAAACTCTAGTGGGTGGTATTACTTGACAGGGTGGGACTTATCAGCCCCCAAGCCTACCGGTCCGGGGGAGAGGAACAAAACTGCCAAAAATAGAAGGAGTTTGATGATGATAACCAAAAGTGAAGCAACAGAAAACAGAAAACATAATGCATTTTATCATGGAGCCAAATCTTGCATCAATCATACACTGTCATGCACACTGCCAGTGTAATCCTGGGTTAATTAGAGAGCACATTAAACTTTCTGGCAATTGCTAGTTTAGCCAATGTTTGATAAGCTGGACTTTTTACCATAAGAGTGATGATGATCCATTACGTATAGCGCTTCTGCTTCGATTGATTTACAAGAGGAACGACTTACTTATCTGGGTTTGATTCTAAAGGGCTTTCGAGTTTGATATGTGGGCAGGCCCTTTCTGGTTCTCCTCTTGTCCAAAGAATTGTTAGGTCACCTCTCTTCCTCCCCAATGTCAAAAAGGTCCCTGCATCATATGAAACAAGTTAGTGACCATGTAATTGTCAGATTGAACTTCATTCTGCAACCCACTAAGGACCCTCTTTACTTCGAATGACAATGTTACCAAGTGTGAATGGAACGATATAAAGCAGTGCCGGTTGGCCATGGCCATCCATCAAATTTAGTGCCATGTAAGTAATGAGAAGACCTGCATTATATTTCATAGACTTAATATCCCATAATTGTGGCATTCCATAGTTCCAAAATTAAAGTTCATGGCATAAACAAAGCAGATATTATGATGTTGTTTCTCCCTCCTAATCTTTTTTTTTTTTTTCCTGGTAGCCATAACAAGAGTGATTTTAATATCATTTCTCACCTAAACCATAAGCAAACATAGCCCACATGAAGTATCCAGTTCGAAGATTCTTCTTTGCCAACCAATCATACCTGCAAGGAAAATCCTTTTAGAGATCGAATTAAAAACTCATGATCAGCAAAAATTGCTACTGTAAGTCCACTTGTTAAAATTTGCCTAATTTAGTCTTAGCTGTTTGATTGCCAGTGAAGGAAGACCCAAATATTATGGCTTGCATAAATTTTCCAATGCTCACTTGATCCACCTAAGTAGTAGCAGATGTCAAAACTTCCTCTCCTGCCCTCCAATATCTTGGCAACCAAGTGAAGCACTATAGATATGAAAATCGGACCATACACACACAACAGTCACAGAGAGAGATAACATAGTTTCTAGTCTGGCTATTTTGGATTTGACATGTTTTACAATCGAAGTTTCTAGTCTGGCTCATATTCAAGTGGTATAACTTCAGGAAGAGCAATTTAGGGTTGGTGTGGCTCCAAATCTTGAAATCTTAATTCCTCCAACATTCCTATGAGTAACATCCACCATGAATTCTGAACAATTCAACACTCCCCTTAACTAGGAAAAATCATAATTGTATAACAGGTACGAACAATGCTTAAGCATCACATGCTTAAATGCATGAACAATAACAAAACCCTAGCAAATAAAAATGCAGAGCTCATACCTAAGCGAAAACGCTATTACCAGTCCTGGTAAAAGGATGTCACCAAAGCCTATTATGCTGTAACCACCCCATGGATCAAACATGCGTGGGATTTTTAGTAGCATTGGAATACCATCCTCTCCACTTCTGTCACCTTGTGCTACCTATAAGTAGGTAAATTTTCCAAATCACTACAACACTTACAAGCACAATTACTTTGTCCCAATTACCCATGACCTAGCATAGAGATAAAGTTTAAAGGATTAATTACCACAATCATCACACTTTCTTCGAACAACTTCTTAGACACAAATACCCAAAATATGTCGTACAAGAAGGCACAACTTAGGAGTACAGTACCCACCTGGTGTGCAAAACCACCAGAATTATATCAAAGAATTTTTGCAGACAAGGCATTGTGGAAAATATAAAAGAATCCATGAAACGGTCCATGCAAGCTTAAAATATAGTCAGAAACATTGCATTCTAGTTCAAAACAAGTTTGAAAACTTACCTTAAGGTTTGGTACATGTACAATCTGTAAAACTGTAATTATGAGCGCAATTCCCTGATTGGATAACAGCAGAAGGAAACATCATTAGTTGGTTTTGTACCCATTCATGTTTAATCTGAGAGACATTATTGTGGTGTTATCAATATATGAGGCTGGTAGACCAACAGAGAATTCGTAAAAGAGAGCTTAAGCAAGCGTGCACACTATGACAATTTAATTTCTCCAACACTCGGTGCATGCTAGGAATAAAAAAACGTCCGTGTAGGCATCGGCAAACAAAGACAGGAGTTATGAGACTAGATACATAATTGCTGCTTTCTGATATGTTAGTTTAGTTTGTCCAAGTTAGAGAAGCTTAGTTAGGAAAAAAAATCAACAGTGATGATCATCAATCCAAAGGAGGATGACATGTGATCCACCATAAACTTAATGTAAACTTACCATATAAAACACACACACACAGAAGCTATTAGGCAATGGCTAATAATGGAACCATCTTCTCCTCATATCTTACCAGAGGAGGTTTTTTTTTTTTTTGAACTGTATCAGGGGAGCACAAGGATTGGGCAATCACGTCACAAAGCTTAAAACTTACAGAAGTATGCAGATTTTTTGGGCAAGAGCACAGTTCTTGGACTCAATATAATACATTTGCCCAGACATGTTTGTTTATATAACTATGGATAGTTTTTCAAGAGAAATCTTAGTCACTCGTGCGTGCACACACACAGAGGGGCAATCTCACAATGTGGAAGAGTTAGTTATTTTACTCATAGAAAATGTGGTCTGACACAAGTTCTCATGAAGATAATCTAATTCATGGTGTATGCCAACAAGGTTTCCACTGAAATTTCTGCGAATTACAGGAAGCATAATAGAAAAGTTTATCCTTACAAGTACATCTTGACCTATCCAAGCAAAGGACCGGTCTCGATACACTGCCCAAACAATGGCGAAAGCCATGCAGAATGGAGAAACAGCCAAAGTAAGATATGAGAGCGCTCCAAAGAAAGGTAATTTAATGAATGCTCCTGCAGCAGGTTTGAACCACCTGGAAAAATTATATATCTACTTAGTTCCAGAGCTTTAAAGGCAAGAAGTGAGATCAATTAATAGCAGTAAATGCCCCTATCCACCAGAACATACCTTTGCTAACTAATTTGACTAGGAAAAACTCAGAGAGGCATCTATAGATGCAATGAACCATCAATTTTAAATGCTGGGAATTCATCCCAATCTCATGCTGCAATTTTTTTGATACAGTTTCCAACACTGTTATCAAACTCTATTCATAAATAATATAGCATTAGAGGCTCAAGATATGGTATGCAATGAAGTTTAGTGTCCGTCCAATATATAATATCTTCCAGTTCACACATACTTCTGTCATAAATGTAATTCCATCGTTTTGCACTGTTAGGTTTTCTATTGGTAGAGTATCCAATCCAAAACTAAGTAGTAATAAATGGAGAGATCTCCTAAGTATATAAGCCAACACTGGATGGTCCTAATCTATGAAACACGTATACAGATATAGGGATAAGGCAAAGTTCGAAAATACAGTACCCAGAATGGTAAGAATACAACTAGTTAAAATAATATTGTAAATTTTATAGATAATAATAGAATTATAATATATGAAAAACAAAGCATATTTTATAACAATATTAATCATAAGACTTAGAAAATATTAAATTTTTTATTAAAATTGAAATAGATCAAAATAAACATCCACATTTATCAAATATCATTTCCATTAACATTCATAGTCTATAAATTACATAACAAAAAACACAAAAACAAAATAAAGAAATCCTACACCGCTCTTAATAGTTAACAATCATGAGATAAAAAATCATAATCCTGATTGTATCATTGGCGGTGTACAACTAGAAAAAAAAAAAATTTATTATTCAAGATACTTCTAGTCATGTCGGACACGTGTCCGACAGTATCACAACACTCATTTAGCAAATATTCATACTGTCTAGGTCATAATCATTCGAGGTGGGATATAAGTAATTGTTGTAATTTTTTGCACGAGGGATCTGGGCTCAAATGCGAGGTCAAGGTTCAAAATATCGGTCTATACCGATAAGAGTAGGTCGAGTCGTATCCGACTAGGCACCTTCCAAGTCGATACTACTACATGTTATGTTACATATAAACCCCGAATCTTGCACAATTCGGACGAGTCGTCTCCGAATCAATCCAAAGATGTTCATTTATCGTCATCGAATCAATCGATGTGGTGCTACGACACCGCAATATGGCCGAAAATCTCTCACCATGTTCAATGTCTTCTTTTAGGTTGTACTGTCTGATATCGTCCTGAAAAACCGTGACCAATGTGTCTCAAAGTCCTTCAAGTTGATGACTAATACTGCAACCTTGGGTCATGTGTGAGACTAACAGACAAAAAGGCAAACATGCATAATGGAAAATTCAAAGGGTTAAGATGCTTGGCTCACTAACAACCCAAGGTTAAACTTTAATATCATGTTAGGGCATCCATCCTAAAACCAATTGTCGTAAAGAAACCCATTATTTATATAAACCAAACTCGAATGATCCTAATCATTCGATGTAGAAGGATATTCTTATGATGACCATTTAGTTTTCACATATAAGTCTTCTCTATCAATTTTTCAGAATATTTCCTTTCATTGACATTCCTCACATGTTATTTTAATCATCGTCCGCACATGTCATCCTTAACTAAACTACTAACATTGTAGCCACCACCATCAAAACTTTCAAAGAAAAAATACTTGTACATGTTGAAGCTTCATAAATTCTTACTACAGCTTAGTGATGACATATATTAAGTATGTTCATACTTTGGCAAACGTCTTGAAGTTCAGTAAATAATCACATTATTTGAAATTGAATTGGGAATTCAGAACAAAAGGTACATATACTTTGTTAACAAATTATAGCCTGTATCATACAGTAGGTGAGAAGGAAGTGGACATGTAGGACTTGTAGTTGGGGACGCAACTTGGGCGGGTGAACTCGAGTCCAACCCGAAAAAATCAAGGCTTGGGTTGAGATTTTAAAATTTAGGTTGAGCTTGGGCCAAAAAAACCCAACCCAAAAATAGAACTTGGATTCAACCTGAAATATATATAGTTTAATATAACGAGAAAGAGTTAGTCAACTAGGGTTGGGTTGTTCGCTTTTTCCATTTGCACCGCTGCTCTCTTCTCTATCTTTCTCATCTCTTAGTCGCCTCTCATCTCTCCCCCATCTCTCATTGTGTTCAACCTTCGATCGTGTTCCTCCATCAAAATCAGGTAATACTTTATTCTTTCATCTCTCCAAATTAGTGCCGTTGTGAATAATAACCAGAAGACTCCACATCTTTGATCCTTATTCCTTCATCCCTGTTGTCCAGTAAGGGCACTAGACAAATTGTCTAAGATTAGGGTTTGGATTATCCATGACATAATTACAAACCCATTCTTTAAATGTTAGGGTTTTGAACATTTTGGAGCATTATTTTATTTTGTGAGAAAGCATGGGATGATAAAGTTGGATGGAAAACAAAAGGAAAAAGAAAATGATGGGATATAGAGTTTGTGGAGGAATTATTGTTGTAGGAATGCACTGTGAATTTGGAAGTGGAAAACATGATGACCCTGCTATTTTTATGAAGGTCATTATTCTGTGTGGTCTAGTGGAGATGTTGGGTTTTGGTTTATACCTGTTTATTCTATGAAAGGTTTACAGGTTCAACCCGAATTGACTAACCCGAAATTTAACAAATTAAGGTATCTTGGGTAGAGTACTTCGGGTATAAAGTCGGACTCGGATTGGGTTAGAGTTGAAGGTTTCATAACTCGGGTTGGGCTTGGGTTGATTTTCTAACCCGCCCAACCCACCCTAGCTAATATGTGGTGTATACATGCAGCTGCTTTGCAGCATAATGAAAGACAAATTAAAAAAGGAAAGAAAAGAACAGAAAAGAAAGAAAGATTGTACCTCGAAAGTAAGGCAACAATGCAAGTTTGCAGACCCTGCAAATACAAGAAACTAACCATTTAGGATTACATTCAACAGCTCAGGCAAACAGTAAAGACAAACTAACCGACACCTATAGCAGTCAGACTCCAAAAGCTACATGCATAATATTATCTACAAGTGGACCCGTGAGTATATGTGGACACAAACAATAAATAAAAAGTCAAAAAGAAGACTCACACCTCTACACCACCCATGCAGAAAAGAACCACCAAAAGCTTAACGAACCACAATGACATTAGTTTGTAAATTAGAATCAAGAAGCATGATGCGATGACAACAAATAAGACTGCTGATATTGTGTTGATGTCCACCACACTGCTCCCACTAATAGCTTTGGTGGCTGGAACTTCTTCACAAGCATCCTACAAGAACAAAATAACTTCATACACCAGTATAGGCTGCCAAGAAGAAAGCCCCTACTTTAGAAAAGAGAAATGTTTAGTAATTAAGGACTGGGAATGGACAACCTTTAATAGTTTGTCCTGTTCTATAGCTGCTTCTCTAGCACTCCATGCTGACCAATAAGAGGCACAGACGATAGTACCAACCGCCATCAGCCACAGAAATACTTCTGCTATGTCAACTACTGGTCGTCGTGGAGAGTACAACTGCACAGACACTGGAGAAAAAGTCTAAAACCTTCAGAAAAGTTTTGTAGATAAAGTCAGCCTTCTTCAGAAAACAATCTTGTAAGAGTGGAGAAAAACATCCATGGCCTCATTTTTATCAATTCTCCAACACAAAGACTCTTAATAGTTTTCAACCTAATCAACTGCATTTTCTAGAGGGTTATTTAAAAAAGGTCAATGACAGTTTTCAACCTGATCATCTGAATTCTCTAGAGGGTTATTCAAAAAAAGTGATAACTTTCATTCACTATTAATGACAATGTGAACTGGAATAAAAAACAATCTCTCTCTCCCTCCCTCCCTGCTTGAGTATGTTTATGCGTGTGTCATTAAGACTTCTCTTAAACCTGCATGATCAAATGACAATTCTAAATCCATTCATAGGAGATTTTGCATTATCGGTGCACTTCCAAGACACCTAGTAGCATTGACACATTTCTACCTTCAAAAGGAAGCGACTCGCTTTTTACGTTTTTCCAGAATGATCAAATGACGTCTCTAGATCCTTTCATATTGGATTCTTCATTCCATGCATCCTTTCAGGAAACCTACTTGCATTAAGACGTCTCTACCTTCAAGGGAGAGTTCCTAAGGTCACACCAATGACGTTGTTCCAATGCACCAGTACTCCAGTAGCACTAAAACTTTTAATAACATCTATTCACGAATCTTGATTTGGCAACCAAAGTGCATTCATATCCTCATGATCCGTATAACCCAGGTCATTTTGTTCTGTCCTCTTTTAAAAACAAATATGCTTCTAGATCTATGATGCAGCTGTTTGGTTTCCAGACAAAATTCGAACATAACAAGTTAGGTCTTTCTGGCCATGACCACAAAGAGCAGCAGTCCATGGAGTAGGCCCAAAACAGAAAGAACTATTTGCAAGAGGAAAAAAGAAATTGTTCCAGTGAAAAATAACTAGACAATTATGTTTGCTACAAGCAGTAAAATGTTCAGCTGAACATGGGATTCCTCTGGCGAACAAACTATGACTTTTGATTTGCCACCATGAATATTATAGAAAAGCTTACCTGACGAACTGTTCAGTAACATTTTTTCCAAACTTGTGCCAGCATCTTGTGGGAGCATGATAGCAGGTATATGTATGTCTAGATTAGTCTCATCTGGATCACAAACCATCTTGTAGAGTTCTGCAGTGAAAATGATGTACAAAAGGATAACTGATGACAATGGAAACAACAACATACTAATTGTTTGGAGTAATGACCTCCAAATTATAGCATAAGAATAAAAGAGAAGAAAAATATAGAATGAGTATCACCAATTCTTATGATTACTTTTGTTAACTAATTCGCATTAGGTGGAGTGGCCCCTCACAAATATAAACCAATCGTTGGGTCTACTCAATTTTTCAATGTAAGATAGCTCTACACACACCCCTCACATGCGATGTGGACTCACATGTGGGCTAATAAACCGAACTGAAATAGACAAACCAACAAACTGGAGCTTAATTGAAACAGACATGGAATTTACCTCATTGTTTACCTCACATTTCCTGACAAAACAATCTCTTACCTGACAAAACCAAGATACTCAATGTTTACCTCACATTTCCACATGTTAAACAATTCCTTACCTTATGTGACTCATCCTTATGTGTAGATGCAATTAAACTATTAGATCATCTACTTAACCTTAAAAAAAACATCATAGATTGTCTTACAACAGTAACATAACTTTCTTGAACACTTCAATGTAATCCCATCCTTTGCCTGTTTCATGAGGAGCTGCCTAAACATTGAATTTGTCTCAATCAATTCTAGAGTTTGTTTCTTTTTCTTTTTTGACAGGTCAGTTATAAGCTTAATTTTAACTGACTATGATTACAATAGTCGACAATGTAAGGCCAGAATTTGAGAGATGCCATGGAAGGGTTAGCCCTGCAATTTCTTCAATAGGTTGTGAAATGGATGGCCATATAGCTCCATAGATGCCATCGGCTAGTTTACCTCCACCACTTCTAATATTAAAGACAAATAAATTTTGAAAGACAAACTACATCTGTAGCCACTAACTTTACTAAGCACATAAAATTTATAAGCACAACCATGGTCACATATTGGGAATTGGGACGGCATAGTGTGTATTTGGAAACAATATCAAGGATACAAACAATCATCTTCATATTCAAGGGAATCTTTTTTTTTTAAGTAGCAAGGGAATCTTATGACCTCCATGAATCATCCTTTTATGCAAAGAATTTGTGTTTTTAGAGTAAACC